CCCCAAAACCCCAAAACCCCAAAACCCCAAAACCCCAAATTATTAAAGAAATAGAATAAACGCAAAACATAAAATGTCGAAGAAACATTTGAATTCTAAGATGAAGAGGAAAACATTGGCCTTACCTCCAAGATTTCAGCAGAATAGTTCTGGGAAATAAGCCATTGAAAGTTTGAAAGATTTTGTCCTCGTCTTCGACTTTACAATCAAGGAAGTTATCATATCTGATAAATTTCAGGGCAAATAGTACTTTTGAGAAGAATCGAAAAATACAGCAATCTTCCTTTAAATCTGTACTTCAAAGGAATTCCTTTCAAGGAGATGGTCCGAGTGGAAGAGATCTATCATTCCTATTTGGTACAACTCATCAGTCAAATCAAGATAGAAACCAAAGAACTGATGGGAAAAGCCTGAATTAAACTAGCTAATATGACTGATATCTATCCAAGAAGTGTCTCTCGTAACAAAATTTTAGAGAATAAACGTTATAATGAATTTGAAGAAATTAAAGAATTTACAAACCGTAACAGTCATAAATCAAAAATAGGCAATAAAATTATTAAACTTACTGCTAAAGTATCCTCATCAGTAAATTACCCAAATTTGTTAAAGAGCTCCAAAGAATCAATCAACGAATTCATGTCCAAGAGACATGTCTACAGTGACAAAGAAAATGCAGATGCTCTGAAAGAACTCATTACAACATTGGTGTCGCAGAATGAAACCACTAGAGTGTCTTCTGATGAGAAGCCCCCATACAAAAGGACTTCACCTTGTAACCGTACAGACAATAATGAATTTGACAATGACTTAAAATGAAAAATGATACAAGACTCATTAATAAAAAGTATCGATCAAGTCAAGACCCATGATGAATTTGAGTTCTTCCCAAATGCCTATAGCACCGTATTCTACTTTAATAACTGCATAGATTTGAAAAGGAAACAAAGACAGTAAAGATACTGAGAAAATAGTTGAAATGCTAATTAGATCAATCACAGACTTATGTTACTCCAGAAAGGGTTTGTTAGACTATACTCTAGTAAATCAGGTTGCCAATCAACGAACAGATATTAAATAAGAAGATCCTTGACTCAATTCATCAGAATATAAAATACGTGGAGTCTAATGAAAGCTCTTTTTACCAGAAGCTAGTTAATAAAGACATTGATATTTATCACCTAAGTTTGTATAAATTTGGCATTCAGGAGATAAATAAAATTTACAAGACAAAGTCAAAGCCGCTTGCTAACCTACATAAGGAATTTCTTGATAACTTTGAGCAAAGCATTTCAACCGCATTTGAAAGCCTGACTAAGAAGTACATCCATGCAGTTGATGAGATACAGGAAGACTTCAACATACTTAAGAAAAAGTTAGATGAGATGATATCTGAGAATGAATTTTTATCAAAACAAATTATCGATTATAAGAATTCATTTGCAACTGAAAAATCTAATAACCAAATCTGTAATTCCCTATTACATAAAGAAATATTTAAATTTAAGGAACTAGAGGAAAAATATGATGCCTCTCTGAAGACAATAGAGATTATGTTCCCTAATTTCAAAGATGTCTTAAAAGACAAAAAGTTTATAAAGTTGTTAGAAGCTACTGAGGTTCCTGATCTGAATATAAGAAGATATGAAACCAATAAATTTCAATATGATCCTCAAAAAGCAGGGATTATTAAGGATGTAATACGAATATTGCAATGAGCTAAGATGAAAACCCCTCTAGACCTTGAGATCCATGAGCTAAATCAGGAAATACTCGATCAGAAATAACACAATTCTTGAGCTCAATGCTGGAACAATAAGAGGACTTCAAGACAAATTAGATAAATTCTCAGCTACAATTGAACAATATATGGATGAAAATTCTACTCTTAAGGAAAGGCTGAAGCAAAGTTCCTCCACAATTCATGATTTGAAATATAAACATGATAGGCAGAATTCAAAAATTAAGAAATATTTCAAGTCAAAAATCTCTGCAGATGTATCTATCCAATGAGACGAGTCCTTCTTGGTCGCTAAACGGATGAGCCAGCTTACTGAAGTTGAGTTCTTGATGCCTACTAATTCTAATAGAAAGAAATATAGCAATCAGAGGAGGAAGACCTTGAAGTCAATATTCCCTATGAAGAAGGGGTTGTGCTCAACTGTTAAAGAAATTTAATACATTTCAACTATTATAAGAAATTGAGGGGTTTTGGGGTTTTGGGGTTTTGGGGTTTTGGGG